TACCATTCGTTCTTGTAGCACTTCGCTCACTGGCCATCACCCACACTCTTTCTCCATCCATCGAATGGGCCAACAGGGTCAATCCATCTCCCAGTCTCCTAACCATCATTCCGCGTCTAAATTATCGCCCAACAGAATTAATTCCCTCATTAAAATCTAAGGCAAATGCTGTGGGACGCCGACCCTTTGTTTCTATCTCTCCATCCAAAATCAATTTTACATCACTAATATGAATAAATAGCAACAGAAGGTAGAAAACGGAGCCAATCAGGTCTGGGTCATGCGTCCAAGGCAAGCTGATAGCTTGTGTCAAGATTTTTGTGCACACCAGCTGGATTGGTACTGACGAATTGACGTGGCCTCACTGAAAGTCGACTTTTTTGAGTTGAAGTAAACCGCTAAGAGCTGCACTGTGGACAGAATGTTTTTGGCGATCGATGGTACATGTTTTCCAGTCTCAACTTGCAGGCCATCAGTCAGTCGATTAGCCACCTGGCTCAAGTGAAGAAGCGAATATTCCGAGACGTGTTCGCATAAGCATTAACGGAACAGATATGAGCAGATATGGCAGTCATGAGTTAGTGGGGATGTTTGAGGAGGAATAAAATCCAAAGTAGCCTTCTTTTCTTGTCCTGAACCACTGATGACCTGCGCAAGCGAACTGGATACTGCTGACTGCAGTTGTCACCTCGAGATTCGATCCTAGAGCAACGATGCCACCCGGATTGGTGACAAAGCGTTTGCAATCTAACTGCTAAGCTCGGCCAACAATACAACCAGGATACACGATAAGCTCAATCCAGTCAGTCAAACAGTGACGGACTCCGTGAACTGCCAGAGAAAATTTCATTGGTGGAGAACTGCGAATTTTACGTTGAGTGCTCCAACTGAGTTAGCAGTTCATTCGTAGACTATCCAAAGCAGATCACGACAGTAAACCACTCGAGGACGATGTGTGAAGTACAACAACCGTGAGTTGGAATTGTGGGCTGGCTATTGCTCCACAGCGAAATTTCAGATAAGTGAACCCCAGTGTGATCCTCAGAGTTAAATCTGCTATGAGGCCCTTTCCTCAGTTTGTATTTAACAATCCGGCCCAAGCGATAACAGATCGGAAGTTGAATTATGAATAATTCACTTCAGCGAATCATTTGCATGAACGGGCTGACAATCGGGACGGAGCTTACGCACTCAAAAGTAGGAACTTGGCATCAGGCTTACGCGCAGTCACGAGGTATTGGGAGTGAGATGCTACCGAAGAGCTGAGGCCTAGAGGTGTCATTTAATAAACCAAAATCAACCAGATCTGGTGAGAAGTTGGCGCAGTAACATCTTGGTGACTGATTGAATCACAGCAAAGTCTACTAAACCACCATTACTCACCTGCAAACGAGGACGTTGCCCGATTCTAGTCGCGCCTGGTGGATGAAATCATTGCTCTCGGCCACACGACGAAACAGACTGCGATCATCGCTTTCAAGCATCACAATTTGCAAGTATTTCCGACTTGCAGACTGATCAAACACAGAGGAAGTGAAAGGATGTAGGAAGCGTGGACGATGGATGAGACATCAACATCACTTCGTTGAAAAACAAGGGAGACAATCAGTCAGTTACACATGTAAGGGGGAACGAAAAGCGAAAACAGAATTAGCTGACGGTTACAGTAATGCAGAGTTGGAAAAAAACAATATAGGACCTGAGTGTCTTCAAAGAAGTCTGTGCCACTTGGGTCCGGAACAAGGCGAATAGACCTGTCGGAATAACATTTCTGCTTCTGAAAATTGCCAGGCAAGTCGAGGGACAAACAAAATGAAGCGATAAAATTTTCCACATCCATCCGAGCATAAACGGGCTAAACAGAAGCATCAAATTTCCTTTTGAAATCCAAAAGTCTACACATGGACTTAGTCAGTAATCCACTCTCTTCGACTTCCGAGTGACACGAAAGCCACATTGACGAAAACCGACGTAAATGCTTTACTGGTAGCCAAGTTTTTCTGTACTATTTGACCTCAACACTCATACTATCAGTCAATGCATCAACTCACAACGTATCAGATAAAATAAAAATCGATAATAGTTCAGCTGTAGCACCCTTCCGGTGCCTAGCCACCATGCTACCCGAAGGAAGCACGAGGGCTGGGATACTGCCAGGTTGCCCAAGCCCAAACAGGGGAGAGGTCGGGTTCTAACCACGGACCTTCCGGTCCGTTAATTCGCGCTCTAACCATTGAACCATCTCGCCCCTCCCCTCAACGTGTTAGTATATCATCCAAGCACGCAGCTTCCTGTCGGTATACGGAATTGTAAGAAATACCTGTGGACAGCAAGCAACCTTGTCATATCCCCACGAGAGAGTGCATTTATCCTCAGTAAAGGATTAATTATCGCCGTGGCCAAACTAGCACGGGGTATTCCATAGCCCTCGAAACATAGCTGACGAAGATTGGAATACCATCACATCACGTGACTTGGTGGATAAAATCAGTTTGGAGATCTAGAGACCAGAATGAATGCGTAAGGATCTCGTGATGCCGGTGATATTCACATTAGATGGCGTCACCGGGCCCATGTAACTAAAGAAATGTTCTGCCGTCTCTTTGTGGATATACAGAAGAGCCACACTTTAGAAAAGTCCAGTAACGCGAATTTCACTCGCCTCTGATCCCCCTTGACCGAGTTCATTGGGATGTGACTTGTGCAACCAACGCCTTCAACCGTTAGGCATGTGCAGTAACTTTGACAAGGCTGCTGAAACCGGTGCATTGTTCCACTGAATCCGGTAGAGCCAAGCAGTAAAGGCAACTCTCCACAGCCATATAAAAAGCCTCTTACTATTAGACTGAAATCCACAGCATGCCAATATTTAATTTGTATCACCATCGGTTATTGTACTACGTTAAAGAAATACGGCAGAGATATTGGAGTTTAGTGGGCTTTATGTCAATAAACTAAATGAATTTAGTAGATAGCACAAAGAGTTTCGTGATCAAAATGCGAATTGCAAATGATTTTAGCCTCTGCTGCAAAGACCGCAGGCACTGATTAGCTGATAGCAATTTGCATAACTCAGTCGAACCCGCAACAATCTAACATCCAAAATTGGGATTAACTCGCAGCAAACACCACGGAACGAAGACCACAGCAAAGAACAATGGAGGAGAATAGGGGACACGACAGTATACGATAGACACAACGCCATCGTGCATGGGGGAGGAGTGAGAAAGATAATGAAATATAGTAACTATCGTTCAGCTGCAGCACCCTTTCGGTGCCTAGCTGCCATGCCACACGAAGGAAGCACAAGGGCTGGGATACTGCCAAATTGCCCAAGCCTAGACAGGGGAAGTCAAGAGGCAGAGGTCGGGTTCGAACCACGGACCTTCCGGTCAGTAAAATCGCGCTCTAACCACTTGGCCCATACCTACATATTCGAAAGGTATGAAAACCATAACAGCGGTCAGCGGCATCGAACTAGAAGCGAACCAAAAGAAACACAACCCAGCTAAGTGGTAGAATAAAATGACACCCATCTTCTAATCCCGAAATTGAACTGAGGGGACCTGGTGATGAGCGAATGCTCAAGTAGTGACTTCTCAATAGTCTACGTAACTTGGTTAAATTTTTCATTTTCTGAACACATTCCCGAAAAAATAAGACACTCGTACAGTTCTCTCTAGGCTGGAGTAATTTGGCGTCTCAACCTTCGTCCTTCTTTCGAGTTGCATGCGGGGTTTGGACAGATGCTCCAGGCCGCGCTGCCATGCTTACTGGCTCTGAGTAATGATTCCAAAGGGAACCCAGATAACCTAGCTATTGAATTGCTGGTTAAGGTGGGAAAAATAATGACAATCGAATACTGAACAGTACTTCGACAATCAGTAGAAGTCCTTTTTTTACAACGTCTGAATCTTATTGCACGAGTTCTCAATTGGAACGCCATTGTTGCATAGACTCAGCCGGACTTCGTTCTAGCCATGTTTTGCACTCCCCCTACAGATGGCTCTGTGGTCAGACTACGATTTCACTGACCGGAAAGTCCGTGGTTTGAGCCCAACCTCTGCCTCTCACATTCCCCTGTCTAAGCTTGGGCGACATGGCAGTATCCCAGCCCTCGTGCTTCCTTCGGGTGGCATGGAAGCTAGGCACCGAAAGGGTGTTACGGTTGAACAAACAGAACCAACACACTATATTACTGTCTTGTGGGACCAAGGCAAATTGTCACCTGTTGAGCAATAACAATAACAGTTTATATCGGAAATTTTAGTGGAACAATGGAGGAACACACCTTCTCAATTTCGTATTTATGGTTCTGGGCGACCAGTATATGAGATATACAGTTTGCGATCAATTCCTCAGCATCCTTGGCATTCTCCAAGCCACCAACATAAAGACCTGGGAGGACCTTTGTCATTGAACCACCCATCACTTTGGCGCACAACAGTGCGGAAACGAGCGGCGAGAGAACGAGAAAATACGCCGCGCTGAAATAAACAATACATGCATATAAAAAAAGAACAGTTCACACGGATCAAAGATTGAGGATAGTCCGATTCACTAGTACTTAAATCTTCGTGATGAGTGATGCATTCTGTATGTTGTTGAGAAGCTTTGAGTACGGAAATACTTCGGGACACGTCCAAAGTATGTCGCAGCAGCCCACGACACGAATTCGCAAGTTGCGGTATCGAGCTGGGTTTTGTCCTGGCCGAGAGTGCATCAACCATATCCTTACCCTGAGGCGAGTTCTTGGAGAGCCCAACTCTTTCAATCATCCCATGGTGAGTGTATTGTATTTCTTAATCTGAAAGCTGTTTCCAACTGTCCATCATCAGAAAATCTGGTGTCTGTTGACCAAAGGGACTCCTTCTAAGTTTATATCCTTTATGCGAGCCCTGTACACGAACTACTGCAGATGTGCACGTGTATACTACAAGCATTCACCTGGGTTCATCACGACCACTGGTGCAAAACAAAGCTATCTTCTCTCACCATTGTTCTTCAAACTTTTTATTAACGTGGTGCCTGCCTCTGAGATCTCGAGGGTCGGAATGCTCCCGGAGCGTTCGCTCATAGTGAGTATGTGGAGAATATTTCTGTTGTTGGATCACACTCCACGAACGTGCAAGTCATTTCAGATGACGTAAGTGATGCAGCCGCATGGTTCGGTGCACGCTTCACAGCCATGCTAGACTGGGGAGATCAGACTCGCAACTCATGCTTGCAGACCAATCAATCAACATGAAAGACATTTATTTTCCTAGGCAGTTGTATGAAACCCGGTGGACCGGGGTATGCCCCAGAAGTTTGTAAACATAATCCGATCCCTATATTCACATACTTCTGGGCGGGTGAGGGTGTATGGTGAGCTCTCCAAAACCTTCCCTACAAAAAGTGGTGTCAGACAAGGATGTCCACTCTC